TAATCTAAAGCTTTTGATAAGCAAATATTGTCTAAATCCATTCATCATTCGTCTTAAACATGGAATTCTTTGTGTATTTCTCTTCCAGATCTGTGCAGGAATCCAATGTGAGACTTTTCCTGCAATGAAGACCACTCACTGCTGCTCTCTCTCCTTGTGCATTGTGACTGGTCTGGTCTCCGCCCCCCTGTCCTGTAGTTTTCTAGTTTTCTGCAGGCAGCCTGTAGTGGGTGGAATCCGCTGGGTCCCTCCCACAGCTCTGCTCTCTCTCTTTCCATGTACAGAGTGACTGGTCTTGTCTCCTGTAGTTCTCTGCAGGCACCCCCTCCCCCTCCTACAGCTCTGCTAGTTTTCCATGCAGAGTGAGCCTGTCTACCCCCTCCTGTGTTCTTGGGCAGCCTGCTGGGCTGGGTCCCTCCCACAGCTCTGCTCTCTCTCTTTCCATGTACAGAGTGACTGGTCTTGTCTCCACCCCCTCCTGTAGTTCTCTTCAGGCAGCCTGTAGTGGGGTCCCTCCACAGGTGCCCGCAGGTGACTGAATCCCCACCCCCCTCCCACAGCCTGTAGTGGGTGGAGCTGGGTCTCCCACAGCGCTCTCTTTCCATGTACAGAGTGACTGGTCTTATCTCCACCCCCCTCCTGTAGTTCTCTGCAGGCAGCCTGTAGTGGGTGGAGCCCGCTGGGTCCCTCCCACAGCTCTGCTCTCTCTCTCTCTTTCCATGTACAGAGTGACTGGTCTTGTCTCCACCCCCTCCTGTAGTTCCATTTAGTGCACACAAAGTGGATTTATATCATTTCTGGCTAATGTTGAGGAATATATTGAAATATATTTATAATGTTACTATTAGGTAACCGCTTCCCTGCCGCCCCTATAGCAAGAAATACTGGATACAAGGGGGCACTGTGTGCCAAATCAGGTAATATTTTTTATATATATATTAAAGTGATTTCTTTATGCATTTCCGGGGTAGGGGGCTGCACACAAGAAGCCTACCACACCGCCATCATTTTAGCGGTCACACGGCTGTCAACACCTTAGGCCCCTGGGTGTAAAAAAAAAAACATCAAAAAAAACCAAAAAATAATAATTCTCATTGGCGCCCGTGATTTCCGTGGATCTCTGACGGGGAGGAGGACTGTTTTTGTTTACTAACAGTCCCCCTCCCTGTCAGCTTTCGGGCACACTGCTATGGATGGCTCTGCACACACAGCCTTCCACAGCAGTGTGAGTACAGTGAAACACACACATCCAGCCCCCTAGTAAAACACTCCTTGCACCCAGTTAACCCTTTGATCGCCCCTCATGTTAACCCCTTCCTGCCCAGTGCCATTAGTACAGTGTCAGTGCTTTTTAGCACTGATTGCCCTGTATTGGTGTCACTGGAGATGTCAGTCAGTTTCCTCCCAGTGTCAGAATGCCTGCCGCAGTCCCACTATAAAAGTCGCTGATTGCCGCCATTACTAGTAAAAATGAAAAAAAATATCCCAGTAGCTATACCACCATTTGTAAATGCTATAACTTTCACGCAAACCAATTTAATTTGCACGATTATTGGGATTTTTTGTTTTAGCAAAGACATGGAGCAGAATAATTTTGGCCTTAAATTTAATGATGAAATTTGATTTTTAAAATTTTACTGGACATGTTTAATAGCAAAAAGTCAAAAATATAGTTTTTTTTTTTCTCTAAATTGTCTGGCTTTTTTTTATAGCGCAAAAAATAAAAACCGCACAGGCGATCAAATACCACCAAAAGAAAGCTCAAGTCGTAGAAAAAGAAAAGACACAAATTTAATTTGCTTCGGCATTGCAACGCCATTTTTTGCGTTTAACACAGAGCCGTAACGCAAAAAATGGCCTGATCAGGAAGGGGGGGGGGGAATCCTCAGAAGGGCGAGGGGCTAATTACACAAGTAATAATCAACATCAGTGCCTTATATCAATTGAATAAAGTGATCAATACCTCTTCCAGAATTCCATTTCCCCTTTATAAGCAAAAAATGGGTGAAAGTACTCTTGTATCCCCAAAGTACTCTTGTATCCCCAAAGTACTTCTTGTATCCCTAAAGTTCTCTTTGTATCCCTAAAGTACTCTTGTATCCCTAAAGTTCTCTTGTATCCCTAAAGTACTCTTGTATCCCTAAAGTTCTCTTATATCCCTAAAGTTCTCTTGTATCCCTAAAGTTCTCATTGTATCCCTAAAGTACTCTTGTATCCCTAAAGTATCTTGTATCCCTAAAGTAGTCTTGTATCCCTAAAGTTCTCTTGTATCCCTAAAGTAGTCTTGTATCCCTAAAGTAGTCTTGTATCCCCTAAAAGTTCTCTTGTATCCCTAAAGTAGTCTTGTATCCCTAAAGTACTCTTGTATCCCTAAAGTTCTCTTGTATCCCTAAAGTACTCTTGTATCCCTAAAGTAGTCTTGTATCCCTAAAGTTCTCTTGTATCCCTAAAGTACTCTTGTATCCCTAAAGTTCTCTTGTATCCCTAAAGTACTCTTGTATCCCTAAAGTTCTCTTGTATCCCTAAAGTTCTCTTGTATCCCTAAAGTTCTCTTGTATCCCTAAAGTTCTCTTGTATCCCTAAAGTAGTCTTGTATCCCTAAAGTTCTCTTGTATCCCTAAAGTTTCTCTTGTATCCCTAAAGTACTCTTGTATCCCTAAAGTTCTCTTGTATCCCTAAAGTACTCTTGTATCCCTAAAGTTCTCTTATATCCCTAAAGTTCTCTTGTATCCCTAAAGTTCTCTTGTATCCCTAAAGTACTCTTGTATCCCTAAAGTTCTCTTATATCCCTAAAGTTCTCTTTGTATCCCTAAAGTTCTCTTATATCCCTAAAGTACTCTTGTATCCCTAAAGTTCTCTTGTATCCATAAAGTACTCTTGTATCCCTAAAGTAGTCTTGTATCCCTAAAGTTCTCTTGTATCCCTAAAGTTCTCTTGTATCCCTAAAGTAGTCTTGTATCCCTAAAGTAGTCTTGTATCCCTAAAGTACTCTTGTATCCCTAAAGTAGTCTTGTATCCCTAAAGTACTCTTGTATCCCTAAAGTTCTCTTGTATCCCTAAAGTACTCTTGTATCCCTAAAGTTCTCTTATATCCCTAAAGTTCTCTTTGTATCCCTAAAGTTCTCTTATATCCCTAAAGTACTCTTGTATCCCTAAAGTTCTCTTGTATCCCTAAAGTACTCTTGTATCCCTAAAGTAGTCTTGTATCCCTAAAGTAGTCTTGTATCCCTAAAGTTCTCTTGTATCCCTAAAGTACTCTTGTATCCCTAAAGTTCTCTTGTATCCCTAAAGTACTCTTGTATCCCTAAAGTAGTCTTGTATCCCTAAAGTTCTCTTGTATCCCTAAAGTACTCTTGTATCCCTAAAGTTCTCTTGTATCCCTAAAGTACTCTTGTATCCCTAAAGTTCTCTTATATCCCTAAAGTTCTCTTGTATCCCTAAAGTTTCTCTTGTATCCCTAAAGTTCTCTCTTATCCCTAAAGTAGTCTTGTATCCCTAAAGTAGTCTTGTACCCTAAAGTTCTCTTATATCCCTAAAGTACTCTTGTATCCCTAAAGTTCTCTTGTATCCCTAAAGTTCTCTTGTATCCCTAAAGTTTTCTTGTATCCTTAAAGTTCTCTTGTATCCCTAAAGTAGTCTTGTATCCCTAAAGTACTCTTGTATCCCTAAAGTTCTCTTGTATCCCTAAAGTTCTCTTGTATCCCTAAAGTAGTCTTGTATCCCTAAAGTACTCTTGTATCCCCAAAGTACTCTTGTATCCCTAAAGTACTCTTGTATCCCTAAAGTACTCTTGTACCCCTAAAGTTCTCTTGTACCCCTAAAGTTCTCTTGTATCCCTAAAGTTCTCTTGTATCCCTAAAGTTCTCTTGTATCCCTAAAGTACTCTTGTATCCCTAAAGTAGTCTTGTATCCCTAAAGTACTCTTGTATCCCTAAAGTAGTCTTGTATCCCTAAAGTTCTCTTGTATCCCTAAAGTACTCTTGTATCCCCAAAGTACTCTTGTATCCCTAAAGTACTCTTGTATCCCCAAAGTTCTCTTGTATCCCTAAAGTTCTCTTGTATCCCTAAAGAACTCTTGTATCCCCAAAGTACTCTTGTATCCCTAAAGTACTCTTGTATCCCTAAAGTACTCTTGTATCCCTAAAGTAGTCTTGTATCCCTAAAGTTCTCTTGTATCCCTAAAGTACTCTTGCATCCCTAAAGTACTCTTGTATCCCCAAAGTACTCTTGTATCCCTAAAGTACTCTTGTATCCCCAAAGTTCTCTTGTATCCCTAAAGTTCTCTTGTATCCCTAAAGAACTCTTGTATCCCCAAAGTACTCTTGTATCCCTAAAGTGCTCTTGTATCCCCAAAGTTCTCTTGTATCCCTAAAGTTCTCTTGTATCCCTAAAGTACTCTTGTATCCCTAAAGTACTCTTGTATCCCCAAAGTACTCTTGTATCCCTAAAGAACTCTTGTATCCCCAAAGTACTCTTGTATTCCTAAAGAACTCTTGTATCCCTAAAGTACTCTTTGTATCCCTAAGGCCCCATTACATCTCAGTACTTTCGTTCCTCTTTTTTCTCAATTTGGAACATTTCTGCTTGTTGCGCATAGGGCAGCCCATTCAAGTGAATACATGACAAACGCCCCAAAGGAGCTTCAAACTTTTTTGGAGCGGAGCGTGCGTGTTTTTTTGGAGCGTTTGTCAAGCAGCAAAACGAGTGGCAAAACGCACATCTGCTACTGGCGCTTGGTGTGCAGGTAACAATTAATGGCACTGAAAGCACGACACCCATTTGCAGTGCATTTGTATTGCGATTTCAGAACACGTGGCAAAAATCACGGTTTATGGGACTTTGTCTGTGTTTCCAGAAACGTCCAGGTGCGAACGCAGCCTAAGGGAAATACTCCATATCCAGCTTCCGCCACTCCTTTAAATTGTATCTCATAGCACAGAGGTCTCCAAACTGGTGCCCTGGGGCTGGATGTGGTCCCTTGCTTGCCTTTATCCAGCCCTTGGGGTAATATCCCTCCCACTGATACCTACAATGGGGCACAGTTTTTTGACATTAACACCAACAATGCGGCATTATTCCTTCCACTGACATCAAGGGTGAGGCACTATTCCTCCTACTAACACCAAATACTTCTCCACATGATACTAAAGACGGTTCATTGTGTTACTCTCACTGTTTTCTACTCCAAGTGGCCATGATCTGGCCCTTCAAAAGCCTGAAGGACTGTAAACTGGCCCTTTGTTGAAAAAGTTTGGAGACCCCCCCCATCCGTCATAGCATGTGCATAAAAAGGAAAAAAAGAAAGGCCTCCATAGTGTAAAACCATTTATTAATTAAACGCTTCCATTAAAAACATAAAAGGTGCAACTCACATTATAAAGTGCAAACACCATGCACAAGGATCAATGAGCTTATTCTCCTTAGGATGCTGGCTCTACTCTGCTATTGTGTGAACCTAGCTCCCTCACTTCCAGATGTACTGCGTCACTTCTGTGAGTGTCATGCGGGATGACGTTACTTCCTGTAGCTCCGGCTGACACGCTTCGTCAATAGACATCCTCAGGGAATGATACACTGCTTGGGTGAGCATATGAAAAATAAACAAGAGCTCTGAATTGGGCTTCAAGAACAATACGTGGAACAAGGACACTCTAGAGCAGGGCGTCAAACTGGTGACCCTCCAGCTGTTGCAAAACTGCAAGTCCCATCATGCCTCTACCTTTGGGAGTCACGCTTGTAACTGTCAATCTTGCAATGCCTCATGGGACTTGTAGTTTGGCAACAGCCATCATGGGACTTGTAGTTTCATCCATGCCCATACCCATGCCCAACGCATCAAATTCAAACTGCTAACTCTGACCTACAAAGCCATTCACAACTACATAACTACATAACTGACCTGATACCCAAATACTACCCTACCCGTGCCCTCCGCTCCCTCACAGGACCTCCTACTCTCTAGCTCCCTGGTCTCCTCCTCCCACACCCAATTGCAGGACTTCTCCAGGACTTCCCCCATCCTCTGGAACTCCCTACCCCAATCCATCAGACTGTCACCTACCCTCCTCACCTTCAGGCGCACCCTGAAAACCCTCCTCTTCAGGGAAGCCTACCCCGACCTCACCTAACACCCCGACCTCACCTAACAACTAACCTCCTCCACTCCTCCTGCCACTCCATCCCCCACAGCCATCTCCTCCTGTACCACCTTCCCCTCCCTCCTAGATTGTAAGCTCGAAAGAGCAGGGCCCTCGAACCCCTCGTGTATTGTATTGTTACTGTCTTGTCTCATGTTCTGTCCCCCTTGCTACTGTACAGCGCTGAGAATACCCTTTGGCACTATATAAATACTGTATAATAATAATAATAATAATAGACATCCTCAGGGAATGATACACTGCTTGGGTGAGCATATGAAAATTAAATAAGAGCTCTAAATTGGGCTTCAAGAACAATACGTGGACCAAGAATACTCTAGAGCAGGGGTGTCAAACTGGCGGCACTCCAGCTGTTGCAAAACTGCAAGTCCCATCATGCCTCTAACTATGGGAGTCTTGCTTGTAACTGTCAATTTTGCAATGCCTCATGGGACTTGTAGTTTGGCAACAGCTGGAGGACCACCAGTTTGACACCCGTGCTCGAGAGAGTACTCTGTCCTGATGATCCCCTGCACTCATAGCAAGTCCATAATCTTCGTCCTGGAAGACTAAGAGCCTCCTCTGACAGGAGAGTGGTACTGCAGTGGAAAGAGAAGAGTTCCAATAGGCTATGGACAATGGACAGCAACATCGGTGGCAGCACCCTCAGAGTCAGACTAAGTGCAGCATTAAAAAAATAGGTCTATTGCAAGGTACAAACAATGGCAACTCACTAGAAGTGAAGTAAAATTAGGCATGTCACCTTGGATGTGCCATTGTTTTTACCTTGCAATAAACCTACCGTATTTTCCGGGAGGAATAGTGTCCCATCATTGGTATCAGTGGGAGGAATAGTGCCCCATCATTGGTGTCAGTGGGAGGAATAGTGCCCCATCATTGATATCAGTGGGAGGAATAGTGCCCCATCATTGGTGTCAGTGGGAGGAATAGTGCCCCATCATTGGTGTCAGTGGAGGAATAGTGCCCCATCATTGGTATCAGTGGGAGGAATAGTGCCCCATCATTGATATCAGTGGGAGGAATAGTGCCCCATCATTAGTATCAGTGGGAGGAATAGTGCCCCATCATTGGTGTCAGTGGGAGGAATAGTGCCCCATCATTGGTATCAGTGAGAGGAATAGTGCCTCATCATTGGTGTCAGTGGGAGGAATAGTGCCCCATCATTGTGTCAGTGGGAGGAATAGTGCCCCATCATTGGTATCAGTGGGAAGAATAGTGCCCCATCATTGGTATCAGTGGGAAGAATAGTGCCCCATCATTGGTATCAGTGGGAGGGATAGTGCCCCATCATTGGTGTCAGTGGGAGGAATAGTGCCCCATCATTGATATCAGTGGGAGGAATAGTGCCCCATCATTGGTGTCAGTGGGAGGAATAGTGCCCCATCATTGATATCAGTGGGAGGAATAGTGCCCCATCATTAGTATCAGTGGGAGGAATAGTGCCCCATCATTGGTGTCAGTGGGAGGAATAGTGCCCCATCATTGGTATCAGTGAGAGGAATAGTGCCTCATCATTGGTGTCAGTGGGAGGAATAGTGCCCCATCATTGGTGTCAGTGGGAGGAATAGTGCCCCATCATTGGTATCAGTGGAGGGATAGTGCCCCATCATTGGTGTCAGTGGGAGGAATAGTGCCCCATCATTGATATCAGTGGGAGGAATAGTGCCCCATCATTGGTGTGTCAGTGGGAGGAATAGTGCCCCATCATTGATATCAGTGGGAGGAATAGTGCCCCATCATTAGTAATCAGTGGGAGGAATAGTGCCCCATCATTGGTGTCAGTGGGAGGAATAGTGCCCCATCATTGGTATCAGTGAGAGCTACCAATAGTGCCTCATCATTGGTGTCAGTGGGAGGAATAGTGCCCCATCATTGGTGTCAGTGGGAGGAATAGTGCCCCATCATTGGTATCAGTGGGAAGAATAGTGCCCCATCATTGGTGTCACAGTGGGAGGATAGTGCCCCATCATTGGTGTCAGTGGGAGGAATAGTGCCCCATCCATTGGTGTCAGTGGGAGGAATAGTGCCCCATCATTGGTATCAGTGGGAAGAATAGTGCCCCATCATTGGTATCAGTGGGAGGGATAGTGCCCCATCATTGGTGTCAGTGGGAGGAATAGTGCCCCATCATTGATATCAGTGGGAGGAATAGTGCCCCATCATTGGTGTCAGTGGGAGGAATAGTGCCCCATCTTGGTGTCAGAGGGAGGAATAGTGCCCCCCATCATTGGTATCAGTGGGAGGAATAGTGCCCTATCATTGGTATCAGTGGGAGGAATAGTGCCCCATCATTGGTGTCAGAGGGAGGAATAGTGCCCCATCATTGGTATCAGTGGGAGGAATAGTGCCCCACCATTGGTGTCAGTGGGAGGAATAGCACCCCATTCATTGGAATACCATACTGAAATACCATACCAATTGAAATCAAATCTGATGTTTTTTAATTTTTATTTGGTGTGCGTTGGAAGAGGGGTAGTCTTATACGGCAAGTATAGCCCAAACCCTATATTTTAACAGGAAAAGTAGGGGGTCGTCCTACGAAAATACGGTACCTTTTTTTATGCTGCACTTAGTCTGGCGCCCCTCTCTTCTCTTTCCTTGCCTACAGAGTCCAGCTTTACTCTGAGGGTGCTGCCACCGCTGTTGCTGTCCGTTGTCCATAAAGGCCTATTGGAACTCTTTACAGCCCGTTCCCCATTTCCTCCCTTCCACTCACAAGTTGGACTTTTACAAAGCATTTGGGACTTTAAGTAAATCCTTTTACCTCTCCGGCGCCAAATATTTATCTATTGTGGTACTCCAGTGACAGCTCAGGATTGAAGGTGAGTATCGCACACGTATTTCTAACACTGCCTGGGTGACCATATGGAAAAGTAGTATGGACTTCAGCAGACTAAGAATTCTCTTGAGGGTCCTGATAGATCCAAAGCTTAAAATAAACCGTCCCCAAACACTTGGAACTTTCATAAAGTGTGGAGGTAAACAGTACTAAGTACTTCTCCGTCACATGGTCCCCAGCCATGATCACACTTCTTCCAGAAGACACCTAAATCCAGCTGTGGATTCAGCCAATTATCCTCCGCTATCACTTATTATCACAAGCTGATCTTACCAATTTGCAAAAACGATCCCAATGGTAAAACGCTCTTGTCAGAACTGATCATGCGGAAAGGAACGATAACACGCTCTCCTATCTCACGTCATGGATATGCATGACAGGAGCCTGCACACGGAGATGAATAGTCATCGGTCTAAGTCTTCACACTTCCAAATCTGCAGGTTAACACTTACGGGGAAACAACTGCAACGTATTAACTGGCAACTGCGGCGTCCATGTAAAAATACAACTCTGCATTTCATGCTTTGCTGGGGTTTTTTTTTGCCTTCCTCTGGATCAACTGTGGGTGTAGGATTATATATATTTTTTTTTTTAATGGTTGAATGGATGGACTTTTGTCTTTTTTCAGTAAGTATGTTCCAATATTGTATATTTTAACATGTATTCCAAAAATGTAAATTAAAATATATTTTCCAAAGGCATGAGAGTGGTGAAAATGTGGAATAGACTCCCTCCAGAGTTGGTTGTGGCCAGCTCAGTGGATTGCTGTAGGAAAGTCCTGGATTCTTTCTTGGATACACAGAATATAACTGGATATAACATTTATAGGTGACGTTGATCCAGGAATATCCGATTACCTCTTCGGGGGATCAGGAAGGAATTTTTCCCCCTGCGGGAGCATATTGGATCATGCTTTGCTTGTTTTTTTTTTGCCTTCCTCTGGATCAACTGTGGGTGTAGGATTATAACTTTTTTTTTTTAACCACATAGTAGAAATATGGTGGCAGGGTGGCACGGGCAGGCAAAACCACATTTTAAAATGTGTGTTTTGTAAAGAGGAAGGGGGGGGCGCGCGAGGCGCGCCGCCGCCCT